CTGTATGCATTGTCATGGATTGTGGCAATAGACATGTGGCAGAGGTGTGAATGGACCCTGAGAGTGAGAGAGAGGGAGAGTGAATTGTGTGTGATAAGGAGATATCATAATGCTTTTGCCCTTTCAGTGATAACAATTCAATATCTCCATCTCTCTTCCCTTAACTCTGCATTTAACTTTATTACTGCAGTATTGGTGTATCAATCAACTTATTGTGAGATGAACCAAAAGCAATCAAAGTCCCTCCAGTAATGCAATGTACAGGTACAGTATGTGTTTTTAAAACAAAAGGTATTGACATGCAATTACTTCATCATTGCTTTACCATCACAAACTCATTAAACATGGGCTAAATACTCATATTAGGGCAATGAGTAGAGCAATGCAAGTGAGTTTGTATCCTTTGTGCTATGTGTATTATATATTATAAGCGCTGCGTAAACTGTTGGCGCTATATAAATCCTGTATAATAATAATACAGTATATCAGCTGTAGCAGAAGTTTCTATGTTGTTTCTCTTTCTCTCTCCCTCCCTCTCTCTCTTCTCACTCTTTCTCTCTATAATTATTTTTATTTTTTATTATTAACATTATTATTAGGGCCCCTACCAATCTAAAAGACTAACTATATCAGAGACTTCTGAAATTGTTTATAAATTAACCATTTTCCACATCCTTCAGCGATGGGATGTCTCTGTATAAACTAAAAAACAAAACTGTGGAAATGTAACAATAATATATTGAATACTTTGTCACACATTGTAAATATTTTATTCGGTAATAAACTAATCATTGCTCAGGGGATGATTTGAAATCTATAGCCATTGTCTTAGTAATGAGATTCCTTGTGTGACAGAAGCTCCACTTTTTCCCCCCAAGAGCTTCACTTTGACTCCAGTTGTCAACTAAGTGGTTTGCATCTAGTTTTCTTCTTGCTGGGACCTGTAGTGCCTCATCACTTGAAAGGATACAGATCAGCAGTCTAAGATTACCGTTCTTTATTTAACATGGGTGGAAAAGTCTAGCTGCTGCTCTTCTGATTAACTTTACAGACAATCAACAAGGTATTTCTGAAGTTCCTCAAACTTTTCCAGATTTCATTTCCTAATTTGCAGTCTCCTTTTTTTAGCACATCCGGCAAGAGTCATCTTGTAGAAGGATTCTTATGCTTTGTGTACTTCGCCTGCTTACAATGTAGCCATTGTCTGGCAGTCCTTTTTTTGGGGGAGCAAACTTCAGACCATGTGCAGAACAAGGTCCTTGCAGTCTCATTGTGACAGTTAGAAGCCAGTGCTATTTTC